TCTAATTAACTTCCTGAAGTTTTAAGGAAAGACCATCACTTCATATTATCCTTATATTCCTTACCCCATTTCAATTCCACACTGGAAACACATGTTGACCCCCTCCCCCAACAGAATGCACCCAGATGCTAATACACACGTTTAATTGTCTGAATATGCCCATTAGCATCTTAGTTCCTCTGCAGTTGCTCCCCAAAGACCTAGGTTTTAAAAAAGGTGATTCAGAAGAAATGCTTGAACCAAGATTCTATGAAACATTGAGCCCATCATAATTTGGAGCAGAATTTGCTCTACTCTTAAACAAGGAGTCTAAGACTGGTGAAAAAGCTCTGTGAGAGAAAAATAGGTCTCAAAACATAGCAGAAAAGTAAAGTCTTTAATTCTAGCACCCTTTGCCTTTAAATCATGACTCTCATGACAAAAGCCACCCATTTCAAGCAGCAGTGTGCAGGGGCCACTGAACCTTTCTCAGGGGCAGGAGATTGCCAAGTGTGTTTCTGAATAATCACCTACAAAAGGCTGCAAATGACTAATAGACACATGACTGGTCAATCCCCGATCTGGACATGAGGTATTCCCACCCCATGGTGGTGTTCATTCTAATCTTCTTTTCTCTCATTTGAAGCTATGAACAGGAGGACTATATAGATGACCCTGACAACCTTAGTTACCACATGACATAGGATTCCAAAGACACATGGCCCTCCTATAACAGAACCTGTTTTGGTCATATTATGCAAAAGGGGGTGCAAAAGGCCTTGTCACAGACAATGAAAGCAAATCCCCTGCAAAGGAAGCACAAGGACAAACCAGAGGCAAAAGAACCCAAGGCTCAGGGCTCCAGGAACCAATCAACTGAAGGAAGCATCTGGCTAAAGGCTGGAGGTTCAGACTAAAGCAAGGGTCAGAGGCTGGTTCCATTTCCTCACTGAATGAAAATAAATGGTTCTTTTCAAAAATAGGGCACTTATTCTCTCAGTGGTCTCTATCTGAGTGGTGGGCCCTGGACAATAGTGCAGATATTTCTTCATCCTCACTTTAGGAGTTTGTGGGGGAGGTGCCACCAAGAAATCAGACTCCTTTCCCAAGGCGTCTTCTCTCTTCCCTACAATCAAGAGGTAGTCAGAGGGAGATGGTAAGAGAACAAATAGGTCAGTGGGAGAGACAATGCTTTCTTATTGAATCTCATGCTTTTCATGATTCTAGTAACCTTCAGGTTATTAGACTACATAATATTAATGGGGAAGTTAAATAAACCCTTCAGTAGAAAATGCTTCCATTCAAATTGGAAAGGAGACTAACAGCCCCAATTTGAGATGAAATAAATCTTTTATTAGGGCATTAGGTTGGGGACTTGATGAGCTTATCTTTGGTCCAACTAATCTCCTTTTCTCTGGTTCTGAGGCTGGGAGGAGGTAAGGGAATGTGAAATAGAACCTGGTGATGCCTTTTGCTTCGAATTAGTCACATAGCTATCCCAGGTAGTTTCAACTGTGCTGTTACTGCAATTCCATTCAGCCCACCAGATATGTTCCTGTTACTGTTCCCCAGTGAAGAATCACTTTCCATCCAGGACACTTGGGTCTCTCCCACTGGAGAAAAAAAAAGGAATGGCCTTGGAGGTGCTTATGGCACTTTGCTGAATGTCACAGGAAATTGAATATTGAACCTCCCCAGGGCATAAGAATCAAAGATAGTAATGGAGGAACTTTCTTGAATGACCTCAAAACCTCATCTAAGGAACTGGATTACCCAAGGGGGCCCACAGTAGACGTTTTATGACAAAATTTTCTGACATGGTCAAACTCCAATAAACGAATCCAAACCTTCAGGAATTAATCAGCAAGTTATGGCATCAGTGTGCCACACCAGTTCCTCCCAGAGCAAAGATTTTTGGGTAAAAGGGGGCTAGAGGGTCATAGGTCACTCCGGTCCCTTCCGAACCACTTTACTTTTTTTTTCTTTTTAAATCTTTAT